GTGTGAGGGGGTGGGGGGAAGGCTGGGAAGGAATGTGAAGTGTAAACAAAGGAGGAGGCTGCAATGCTTGATAAGAAATGTACTCATTATCTTGCCCATGTAATTGTAATCACTCTGTACAGTATGTTCACAAAAAAATAAAATAAAATAAATAAAATAAAATACCTAGGAATTAAGTAACCAAAAAAGTGAAGGACTCCTATGATGAAACCTTTAAAAACCTGAAGAAGGAAATAAAAACAGAACTTAGAAAGTGGCAAAACCTCCCATGCTCCTGGATTGGAAGCATCAACATCGTGAAAATGGCAATACTTCCCAAGGCTATCTACACATTCAGTGTGATACCTGTCAATATTCCTACCTCATTCTTCAAGGAAATAGAAGAGGCAATCCAAAAATTCATATGGAACAATAAAAGACCCAAAATAGCAAAAATGATCTGTAACAGAAAGATCATTCCTGGAGGAATATCAATACCAAATTTCAAACTCTACTACAAAGCCATAGTAATAAAAGCAGCTTGGTACTGGCACAATAACAGACCTCAGGACCAATGGAATAGAATTGAAAACCCAGAAATGAATCTACAGACCTATAGCCATCTAATCTTAGATAAGAGAGCTAAAAAAAAAAAAAAAATAGGATGGAAGGAAGAAAGCCTCTTCAGTAAATGGTGCTGGCAAAATTGTTTAATCACCTGTAGAAAACTAAAGCTACATCAACGCCAAATGGACCAACGACCTCGGAGTCAAAGCAAACACTCTGAAAACATTGCAGGACGGAATAGGAGAAATCCTAGGTCTCCTTGGCACAGGCCGAAATTTTCTTAATAGAGACCCAGAAACACAACAAATCAAAGAAAGATTGGACAAATGGGATTGCATCAAGTTGCAGAACTTCTGCATGGCAAAGGAGATAGCTAGCAAGATCAATATAAAGCCAACGGATTGGGGGAAGATCTTCACTAGCCATACAACACACAAGGGTCTCATATCTAAAATATACCTGGAACTCAAAAAATTAAATCCCCCTACAACAAATCCTCAAAGAAACTACTGCCCAATAAATAAGTGGGCCAAAGAGTTACAGAGAAACCTATCTGAAGAGGAAAGGATGGCCAATATACACATGAAGAAATGCTCAACCTCTCTAGCCATAAAAGAAATGCAAATCAAAATAACATTGAGATACCACCTCTCCCCAGTTAGAATGGCTATAATCAAGAACTCTAATAACAACAGATGCTGGAGGGGAAGTGGACAGAAGGGAACCTTACTGCACTGTTGGTGGGAGTGTAAACTTGTTCAACCACTTTGGAAAGTAGTATGGAGGTTCCTCAAAAGACTCCACGTAGAGCTCCCTTATGACCCAGCAATCCCGCTTTTGGGCATTTAACCAAATGATCACAAGCAGGACCAAACTAAATATACCAGCACATCTATGTTTCTTGCAGTATTATTTACCATAGCTAAGATATGGAACCAACCCAGATGCGCCTCAGTAGTTGAATGGATCAAGAAAATTGTGGTATATATACACAATGGAATTCTATGCCTCCATCAGAAAGAATGACATTGCCCCATTTGTTAGGAAATGGAAAGACTTGGAAAAAATTATATAAAGTTAAGTAAGCCAGGCCGAAAGAAATATAGGTCCCATGGTTTCCCTTATTTGCAATAACTAGTATATGTCTGTGACAAACAGAAACTGTCAGACAAGTTGATGTTAGGCGAAATGAACCCCAAGGTAAGGATTCAAATGTTTTCTTTTTCTCTCTTGTGATTGTTTCTAACATATTTATGAGATGATTTCTTTGATGCTTTGCATGTATCTCCCCAGGGTATAAGCTCTGCTTTCACTGTATTTGATGTTGATATAATTTGTGGAGGGGAAGGGAAAAACAAACTGTTTAAATAGGGTTACAGGTGGACCCATTAAAACAATGAGATGTACAAGTCGTTATGTCGAAAAACGAACTTTACATCTTTGGGGGGGGTGGGGATAGCGGGAGGGGTGGTGGAGAGGGGAAGGGATGGGAAGAGGAAACAAAGGAGGAGGCAACAATGCTTGTTAAGAAGTGTACTCACTATTTTTCCCATGTAATTGTAATTCCTCTGTATGGTATTTTCACAATTAAAAAAAGGTTTACAATATAAAATAAATAAATAATAGTAGCACACATTCACACTATGGGTTTCTGCTGCCCATGTAAAGAGTAGTCTTGAACTCAAAGCACAGTGTTTGGCTCATACCTGTCAGGATTTCCTTGGAGGACAAATGCAAAGGACATGAGCCAGAATTCCACCAGGGCAGAGAAATGGCTACATAAAGTCGCTTATCTCAAATGATTTTACTAGAGTGGTTCCACAGCGTGTTTGAACACTCATGAGAAAGAATCTTCAAATGTGGGGTAAGTGAATTGACATTACTCAGTTTGGGGAGAAAAAGAGAGAAAGAAATGAATAGAGCCTAAGACCTTTGTGTCACTGTCAAACATGCAGTAGCAATTCTAGAAGAGGGGAGGAAGCAAGGTGAGGTAAAATAGAAGAAATAAAGAAACAGTGACCAAACTTGGTACAACATATGAATATACACGTCCATAAATCTCAATATGTACCAAGAAAACAAAGCCAAACAAATCTAGATTGTGTCATATTGTAAACTGTTGAAGATAGGAACAAAGTAAAATCTTGGAAGCAGTGAGAGAGAAACCACATGGAAGGGATTCTTTTTTCTTCTTCTTTCTTTTTTTTGTCAATCCTGGGACTTGAATTCTGGGCCTGGGCACTGTCTCTGGGCACTGTCTCCTTTTGCTCAAGGCTAGAGCTCTATCACTTGAGCCACAGCACCACTTCTGGTATTCTGATGGTGTATTGGAGATAAGAGTCTCATGGACTTTCCTGCCATGGCTGGCTTCACACCATGATCCTCAGATCTTATCATCCTGAGCAATACATGAGGATTACAGGTCTTACCCACCAGCTACAAAGGATTCTTTATTACCAACCATCATTCAATCATCAAAAATCATGGAAATCAGAATAGTGGAATGATTTTCTAAACTGCTAAAAAGAAAAGCAAAAAAACAAAAAACAAAACCATCACTGCCACCAAAAATAAAAATGTATTAAAAAAACACTCAGCCAGTGATTCTATACATTGGAACTAATTTTTTCACAAATAAAAGAGAAATTGAGACATTTGAAGACTTAAACAAGGCTTAGGATATTAATCATTGGAGATCTTCCCTACAAGAAATTCTATGAGGTTATAGGTGACATCAAATGAAGCTGAACACTAAGTTGGAGTCATAAAAAGTGGGAAAAACAGATCATTGTCACATAGATAATTAAAAATCTGGTATTTTACATTTATGACTTTATTTGTTTTATTATATCATTTAAAATGCCAACATATGAGGTATAGAAGTGAACAGAAAAGGAAAAAATGTATTTTCCACATGTACACAAACATATTCTTATTTAAGTAAAACAATTTACATAGTCCAATGGATTGAATTGAATTGTACCATATAGAGTAGCATTTACTTTGAAATAAATTGCCTTTGAATAGAACTTGCTCTTCAGTACTCTGTTATTTATCAGATACATCTATGAATTTATTAATGTGGATAATGTAGACCACTTGATACTTAACATCATTGGGATACAGCTGTGGTTTCCATAGCCATTCATCAAAAGGAGTTGCTTCTACTTTGACATCATCAGGCAGAAAGGTTCTGCAGGACAATTTGATGATAAATGACTTCAGTCATTTTGAGCACTTATATGCCTCTTGGGTTTGTCAAAACAGTAGATATATTAATTCATTCATTATTTTGTGTGTTTCCTACAAAGACAGTGCTTCAGCCTATGTTCTGTATTTAAGACTTTATGCTTCATCTTCAAACTTTTGTCAAGGCTCTTAATATGCTCTTTTTTTTCTGTTCTTTGGTTTTTGAAGCTACCAGGAAATAACTGTAATTTAATCAAGTACAACCAATCTTTAGAGAAAATGATTTCAATATTTTCTTTCTCCCCAATCTACTTCCTTTGCAGCATTCAGTGAGGAAAGAAAAGTTCTGAGGTTCTGATCAGCCCATCTTTGGAAGGGAGAAAAAAATAGAGAGAGTAAGATTTATAACTTTCTAAGGTTGACATCAACTCCTAGATTTTTATGGCTTTATTCAAGAAAGATGAAAGGATTAGAAAATTTAAACAAAATAATGGATATGTCTCCTTTTATTTAAAGTTTAGATATGGGGCCAATTATTTCTATTTAATCAATATAAGTGTGCTCATTTCCAAATGCTCTGTTGGAACTCTTATGTGCTGCCAGTAGGCATGACAATTAATACAGCTTCTATCAAAATCACTATAGCATTTCCTGAAAATATATACTGAAATAACTACAAAGCTTTCTGAATGGAGCTTCTTGAATATATATATATAGATATATATATCAGAAGATACTGCTTTAACACTCTCAGGTATATACCTAAAGGAATCAAAGTCAATATACAGTAGAGACACTAGCACAACTCATGCATAATGTGACACTGTTCACAATGGCTAAGCTGTGGAATCAGTTCAGCAAAGAACTAATAGATGAAGAAAATGTAGTATTTGAAGACAAAAATGAAACATATTCATGAAAGGATCATGTGTGGATCTAGAGATCATCATATTGAATGAAATAATCCAGATTCAGAAAGACAAATGTTTTCTCTAATATGTGTAAACTAGAGAAACGTAAGGCATTCTAAATAGAAGCTGAACTATTAGGAAGAAGGAGGTAAAGGGGAAGGAGGAAGGAATGTTGGAGTGATAATAACCAAAGTACATTATATCATGTATGAAAATCACAATAAACCCATTATTTTGCAAAACTAATATACACTGTAAAATGAAAATAAATATTTCCCAGGCTGTGAACAAGAAACATTCCATTAAGTAGATGTTGAACCAATCTGTGTTATAAAGTTTTCTTTTAAATTTCAGGAAATTTCATTGAAAATTAAAGATGAGGAATGACTTGAAGGTGCCTAGATTGATATGAAGAAGATCTCTACTATGTGAAATGCTGCTTGGTCCTGAAAACAACACCCAGATTTCCACAGTAAAAATATAATATTTTTAGTGCATGAAACAGGGTTTTGAGAATCACTGCTTTACTCCAAAAAAAAGTAATATAAAATGCACACATGAACATCACGTCCCCATATTTACTCTGAGCAAATTGCCAAAATCTCTAACTAGATATCTATTTTTACGTTTTAACATTTCATGTAAGAAGGGTTTGCATTTTGAGTATTTGTTTGAATATTTGATTTGCATTTTAAGTATTTGATCAGTAGCGACCACAAGAGGGCAGTGTGCATTCAGGGACCAAAAAGAAACCTTTCAAGTTCTCTTAAGTGAGAAAGGAAGGGAGGAGTTGGTTGGTGCAGGAGGCTTGGGGAAAAGATCCTCTTTTTCTACTTGAAGGACAGTTCCTGTTATGTTTTCTAAAGCACAATACTGAGATTTACTTTCTTGTGCAGTTTGTAATCTTCGCCCTCAGTGGGAAAGGATGAGATCGTTGAGTGTCTTATTAGTGATCCTGTGGCATCGCTTGAGCTGTGAGTTGGCATTTCTATGGGAACATGAAGTTCAGTGATGGGAGTTGTTGTCTGTGTGTCTGTGTCAGGTATGTGAGGAAAAACCAGAAAGTTCTTAGTTTTTAGGCAAGGGAGGGTGGAAGGCCCATGGAAAAAAGTAATTTACATTCCATAAGAGAAAGCATCCACTTTGTATTGTATTGTTCCTTTAGATGACATTTGTCTTTCTGCACAGGGGTAAACAGCCAACAGAAGGAGGTGGAGCAGCATCCTGAGTCCCTCAGTGTTCCAGAGGGAGCCACTGCCTCTCTCAACTGCACTTATAAGAATAGTGCTTATCAGTACTTCATGTGGTACAGACAGTATTCTGGGAAAGGCCCTAAGCTTCTGGCATCTACATATTCCAACGGTGATAAAGATGAAGGAAAATTCACAGTGCACCTCAACAAAGCCAGCCTCTATCTTTCCCTGCACATCAGAAACTCCCAGCTCAGTGACCCAGCAACCTATCTCTGTGCAATGAGTACACAATGCTCCCCCAACACCTGCAGCCTGCATCCAAACCTACAGGGGCCCCAGTAAGGCCTGAGCTGCAGTAGAACCCAGCGCACAGCAAATATGCTGGGATCTGGATGCGATGGGTGTGAAGAGCAATAGCAGGGAGGGTTTGAGTGAATATTTTTCCTCTAAGAGAATTTTAAAATATTAATTTTTAACTTATTGATATGGTTGAAATATTTTCCAGTTTTCTCTTAACATTCCAATTTAAAATTTTTCATTAAGGAATACCCAAAAGGTTCCATATAATGTCTAAATTTTTTTGAGAAATTTAAATATAATACCCAAACAACTGTCACATAAATAATGCTGCAAACATAAACATTGTCCCAGAAAGTGTCCTTCCTCTATCTTATTATTGAAGTATATTAATGTAGTCAGATCAATATTGATTAATATTAATGTTATTGTCTAATCTAGTTTTATATCACAGCTATCACATGCAGAATATCCCACTATATTATTCTGACATGTTAAATTAAATGATACAAAACATCTAGTCTTCTAATCTTGGCTCTTACCTTTATCAGAAGTAATTTGATGGAACAGAAGATGAACACAATACATAAATCCAATGAATAATTCAGTATAGGTTTGCTTTACTTTTTCCTTTCTTGCCAGGTTTCACATTCTTAGATTTTTCCGTCAAGGCTGGTGCTCTACCATTTGAGCCACACTTTTTTTTAAGAGTACAGGGGTTACAGTTACATGAATAAAGTAATGAGTATATTTCCTATCAAGCATTTTTGCCTCCTCCTTTGTTTTAACCCTACCATCCACTTATTCCCACCTCCCTAACTACTCGTGTCCCCTCCCCCTAACTGAAAAGGTAAAGTTCATTTTCAACAGAGTGTCTTGTTCATCTCATTGCTACAATGGGACATTGTGTATCCCTATTTAATCATTTTGTTTTTTCCCTCCCCAAATTAGAAAAGTATATATACAAGATGCAGGGTACCGGAATCAAATACAGTGAAAACAGGGGTTATACCATGGGGGAGGAACATACCAAAGAAACAAAAAAATCACATAGTACATTATAAGTATGTTAAAAATTATAGCAAGAAAGAAAAAAAACTCTTGTGTCCCTGTCTCGGTGTTTATTTAGCTTAACATCATTTTATATGGTCCTATGTATATAGCTTTTGACCTTTTCTGTTTGTCCTAGACATACTACTTATTAGAAATAAGGGAAACCAAGGGAACTATGTTTCTTTGTGCTTGGCTTAATTCATTTATAGTTTTTTCCAAGTCTTTCCATTTCCTAATAAATGGGCAGTGTCATTATTTCTGATGGAAGCATACAATTCCACTGTATGTATGTATGTGTGTGTGTGTGTGTGTGTGTGTGTGTGTGTGTGTGTGTAATTTTCTTTATCCATTCATCTACTGAGGGGCATCTGGTTGGGTTGGTTCCAGATCTTAGCTATGGTAAATAATGCTGCAATAAACATAGTGGTTCTGGTAGTTTTAGTATACCCTTGTTTGTGATTGTTTGGGTAAATGCCCAAAAGTGGGATTGCTGGGTCATAAGGGAGCCCTGTGGAGTCTTTTGTGGAACCTCCACACTGCTTTCCAGAGTGGTTGAACAAGTTTACATTCCCACCAACAATTCAGTAGACTTCCTTTTTGGTCACTTCCCCTCCAGCATCTGTTGTTATTAAATTTTTTGATTTTAGCCATTCTGATTGGGGTGAGGTAGAATCTCAATGTTGTTTTGATTTGCATTTCTTTTACGGCTAGAGAAGTAGAGCATTTCTTCATGTGTGTATTGGCCATTCTTAATTCCTCTTCAGAGAAGTTTCTCTTTAAGTCTTTAGCCCACTTATTTTTTGGCAGTTGTTTCTTGGAAGATTTGTTGTTGGGGGATTTAGTTTTCTGAGTTCTAAGTATATTTTAGATATGAGACCCTTGTCCATTGTATGGTTAGTGAAGATCTTCTCCCAGTCCATGGGCTTTCTATTGATTTTGCTAGCTATGTCTTTTGCCATGCAGAATCTCTGCGGTTTCATCCAATCCCATTTGTCCAACCTTTTTTTGATTTGTTGTATTTCTGGGTCTCTATTAAGAAAATTTCGGCCTGTGCCAAGGAACCCTAGAGTTTCTCTTATTCCTTCCTATAATATTTTCAGGGTGTCTGCTTTGACTTTGAAGTCTTTGGTCCATTTGGACTTGATTCTGGTGCAGAGTGATATATGAGGATTTAGCTTTAGTTTTCTACAGGTGTTTAACCAATTTTGCCAGCACCATTTACTGAAGAGGCTGTCTTCCTTCCATTCTATTTGTTTAGCTCCCTTATTGAAGATTAGGTGGCTATATGTCTGTGTGTTCATTTCTGGGTCTTCAGTTCTATTCCATTGGTCCTCAGCTCTCCTCTTGTGCCAGTACCAAGCTGTTTGCATTACTATTTGAGCTATACTTTCAATTTTGGATTTATTGATAGTTATGAAAGCAAGAGTATCTTGGATTTGTCATCCCAAGATGGCTTCAAATCCTGATGTTCTGTTATCAGCCTTCTGAGTAGCTAGGATTGCAGGTGTGAGCTACCAGAACCTGGTTTGAGTATAGTTCTTAATAATATATGAAAAATCTAAAATTCATTAAGTTTTAACCTTTTTAAAAGTAAATTATTCCAGTGATTTCCTCATAAAATCCTTACAATTAATCTAAGATAAGATATCAGCCAAAATACAGGAGGAGGTAGGGAAAATTTCTTTGGGATTTCACTTTAAGTCACACTAATTCATGCATGACATGAGGTCACACCACATTTTTAGTCTTTCAAAACACAATAGCAAAGTAGTGAGAAAGTAGATCTTTGCTACAAAAATTCACAGAATCAAGCTTTACTTTCCTATTATCATATTCAAGACCAGGAAATAGTATAATTTCATCTGACAAGTTTACAAAATTCTATATGTACAATGCCTATGTGCATCAGATCATACAAAATAATATTTATCAAAATTAACCTAGGAAATGGAAATAAAGGGTTTTTTCTTTTTTGCTATTTTTGTTTTTCATTTTATCTTGTGTACTCATTCATTCATGTCTTTAGGAGGGGAACGAGGGCACAGAAATGGAAGGACAAATGGTGAACAAATGAAGAAAAACTGCATTTGTTAGTTTCAACTATATGTTGAAAATAAACTATGTAATTTGTGGGTGGGGATGCAAAGAGAAAGTGGGAGAGCAAGAGAGGGGATATTTTCCAAAAAGAAATGTACTCTTTACCTGAGTTATGTAACTGTAAGCCCTCTTTACATCACCTTTATAATAACAATAAATTTCACATGTACAATTATATATTATACATCCATATTGTAGTGGGTATGTAATTCCAAATTGTTTGTGATTTGACTCACATGATAGGATAACAAAACCTGCTCCTTAAAAATAGCATCAAAAGGACTTCAGACAGAAAGGCTGTCCTTCTTTATTCATCATTTCCTACTTCATTGTGGAGATTTCAGAATAATCCCAGCTATGGGTTTATCTGGTACAAAAGGAAGGAGATGGAAATGAAGTTGCCAACCTATACCTGTTCTATTCTCTAAAAACCAGTCTCACTAAACATATTTTCATGTTCATGATGGTCAAGTTACAGGTTTACAGTAATCTCCTAATTTCATTTAATTGTGCTTAGAATTCTATAAAGTAGCCAGTGATATTCTTCCTTAGTAAAATCTTTCTTGTAAATAAATTGTTGTTTTGTAATTTGCATGTTCTGATTTTGTGACTAAAAAAGTTGGCTTTCTGATACTATTCATTGTCTCCAATGTATATCTGAATGATCTTTTCCCTTTCTTCCCTTCCCTCCTGAGGTGTCTGATCACATAGGCATCCCTGGAGGGAAGAGGGGG